GATGCCGTTAGACAAAAAGAGATCAATATCGGTGCCTTGAAGAAAGATCACGTGAAGGAGATTGAGGAGCTGAAGTTTGAGTTGCAGCTTGGACGCCAGCGCTCTGAACATCTAGACAAACTGCTCGATCAGCAAAGAAAGCAACTGCTGCAGTTGAAGCCCCGCTCTGTTCACCGAAAGTAATCGTTCTCTGAACGACCACAATTTCAGGGCACAAGGTGTACTCTACTCGCGAGCCCTAACGTCCTTTTCCTTGTTTGCCAACTTTGGTTCTTCCATTCATTGAGTATTTGCATTTCCTACCTTTTTCTTAATTGCGATCCAAATGTATAACGATTCGTAATTTTTTGAACGATACTGCGAGGTTCATAGAGTTCAAATACAGAACTGACGGTTGTATAGCTTTCCTTTGGACATTTTATTCTTTGTGGTGCTATGCAGTACGTGAGTATACAAAGCTCCTCGCTTTGGGCAATCATGCAAAAAAATGTGAAAAAGTGAAAAGGGAGTACGTTTAGTTTTGAGAGTGTTATTCTACACTGTCCACTAGGAAATTCCTGCATTCAGTGTGACCTAGTGTAACCGATGGTGACGCAATACAATGCAACCTCGGTCGTCTTGCGAAACATAGCCAATCAAACTGCATCAGTTCGCTGATTGGCTGCAGGCGACCGATACCCACGTCATGGGAGCAGGACTCCATGGCAGACGCAAACGCGTACATGCATTAGCAACTCGTTAACTGAGTGGAAGCTCGCCAGACAAAAACATTTTCTGTAAGTGGCTCGCTCGTCACTTGAAATGCTTCTGTATGGAGCTGCTCTTCACCCGAGGCTCGTCCGTAAATAAGTTTGTATCCGACAGCCAGCATTGCTGTCCAGAATTCTTGTTCAAGACTCACAGTCTCAGGGTCATGCAGTTTCAAAGCGAGTGATTTCCGACTCGCTAATCTGCAGTCCCTTGACCGAAATCGACTCAAACACATATATACATACGCGTGCGTCTGTAGTGGCCGCTGCTGCATGACGCTTTCCTAACTCGTGACACCACAGACGAGGTCACTCAGAGCATAGGACCTCGCGCGAAGG